AGGGTTCAGGGTTTAGAGTTCAAGGTTTAGGGTTTAGATGTTAGGGGTTTAGGGTTTTAGGGTTTAGGGTTTAGGGTGTTTGGAAAGCATGCATGAGCCCTGGACCCAGGACCCTATCCCCAAACCCCTGCAAACCCAAAGTGTGAGTTTCGGGCACTAACGTAGACCCTGCAGTCATCAGGCTTGGTGCGGCAGCGCTGGCTTTTGCCGGGGGCCGAGGGGCAGTGTTTTGCATTTTTTATTTTTGGTTTATTTTTGGAGGGGGGCGTTGGGTTTAGGGGTTTAGTTAGCTTTTCAGTATTTGCAGCCTGACGTCTTGAATATATGACCTGTTCTTGGTGCTTGATGGCTAGTTTTTCGCTCGAGGGTTGCCAGCTTCAGGCTGAGAAGTTGTTCAAAAAATTCAAGGGTTTAAACTGCCCTCGACTAAACAGGAGAGATGCATTGATGTCAGGGGCCCCAGTCGTCTCGTGGTAGCGGTAGCGGTAGCGGTAGCGACAGCGGCAGTGGTAGTGGTAGTGGTAGAGGTGGTGGTGATGGTAATGATGGTTGTAACAAGTCAGTGTCGTCGGCGTAGTAGTACTACTGCTACTGCGAATGCTACTGCTACTGCTACTGCCACTGCTACCGCTACTGCGACTGCTACTGCTACTGACTACTACCACTACTACCACTACTACCACTACTACCACTACTACTACTACTACTACTACTACTAGCTGCTATACTACGGAGGATGACAAAGATGTGCTGGCCACAGGTCACAGGGTGGCGCGTCTGACCCTGCGGCGGCTGGCCTTATCGGCTTTGGCCAATGCATGGTGATCGTGATCTTGCGAGACGAATGAAGTACGTGATTCGCGGCGATGCATGCGTCTATTTCGGTTTTGGGTTTGGGGGTTAAGATTCGGGGTTTAGGGCTTATAATTTGGGCTTGTAGGGCTCAGGGTCCATCGGTTGGCATGATCTGCATGTGCACGACGCACTCATGTGAATGCATATACGTTATGTTTCTAGACTGATGAATTCTGCTACCACCACTACTACGTACTATAGGTGGCATATACTTTAACCCTTACCTAGCACCGCAGCACGATTGCACTGCTGTCGTCTACGTGTATAGTGGTCGTCCTTGCGACTTTGAGCCCGCAGGATAGGTCTTCTTGGCTCCCAACGCTATAGAGGTTTGGGGAGTATAGGGCATACGGTCTGGGTCCGGGAAAGTTGAGCCTTTAAAGTTTACGGCTCTGATCTATCCCTAGACCCTAAAACTCCTACAACCCGTGAACCTAAACCCCTAAACCCGAAACCCTTAAACCCTAAAACCCCTAAAACTTATAAACCCCTAAGCCCTTCTAAACTCTAAAACCCCTAAGCCTTTAAACCCCTAAACCCCTGAACCTCTAAACCCTAAAACCCCCCGAAACCCCAAACCATAATCATAAACCCTAAACCGGGGCTTGGGGCCCTCGCGGCTGCAAAGCTTAGCAGAGTTGCTTTGGGGCAACCAAAGAAGCGACATAAACACTTAATGGTCTTGTTGTTGCTCTTGCGAATATATATATATATAGGTAGATGTACCGCAGCTGTTATGTAATGCATATATACCCTCTATAGCACAGGTGTATTATATATATATATATGTAATGTTATAGCTACATGTATCTAGAAATCGCTCTCCTTATCAAAGTGACTGGGATAATATATTTATGTATATATATATATATCTGTATGCCTATATATCAATATATCTATATATCTGTCTATCTATCTAAATATATAAAATATTTGCTATATATATATATATACTGTTCTATCGTCTATTTCGTGAATTCACGGATCCTGTGCTTTTCACGGATTCACGGGTTCATGTTTTCACGCGTGTTCACGTGTTCACGGTTTCACGCCTTCACGTTTTCACGTGTTCACGCTTTCACGCGTTCACGCCGTAGGCCGGTGTATCGATCTGTATATTTTCTATATACTAGAATATCTATATATATATATATAGATATATATATATATATTACATATTATATATGCATGCATATATATATATATATTATACATATAACATATGTATGTATCTATATATATATATATACACACATGGAGCGAGCCGGAGAGATCGAGGGTGAGAGTGCGAGATCCTATTTGGGGGGTTCAAGGATAATAGCTTATGCCTTCGAAGATCCGGTCTTTTGAAGCTGCTTAGGCTTTAGGCTTTCGGGTTTAGACTTCCGATATATAGTTTTCAGGGAGCCGCTCTGTGATGTTTTTGGGTATACATCCCTATATAAGCTCAATCCCTGAACCCCATGAACCCGGCCCCCAAAGGAACCTGCTTTAACATAAGCCTAATGGATCTCTGTGCAGGACATCGGATGGGCGAAAAAAGCTGATCTCCGAAGTGTGATCCGGGAGCTGGCTTGATTTTTGCAGTTCGGAGGCAATTCGGTCGAAATTCTCCAGATTTATCACTAGAACAGCTAAAAGCGTGAAAGCGTGAAAATAGCGTGAAACTAGCGTGAAAATGCGTGAAATTCACGATTTCAGGAGTCGACCGAATTGGACTCAATTTGCTTCATTCTGGTCGGGTTTCGTGTTGATTTAGCAGCACATCGACCCCAAGATTGTGGCCGAAGACATACTTCTTAGGCCTTGGGAGGCTAGAAAACCTTGCAGCGATAGTTCCATGCATGCTCAAGGACGATATGTACTTGAAGGGGTATGTTGGTTCATCGAGGCGGCCATTTTGCGGCCCAGATTTTTGGTTTGGTGTTCCAAGGGAATTCCATCATGGCTGTGCCGAGCAAGCGCCTGCGTCAGAAGGCCACCTTGGATGCCGAAGCCGGCCCGCCCTCCGCCTTATTGAAGAGCCCGAACCCACGAAAGTTGAAGCAGGCGAAGGCCGAGCTAGCTAGGGACCAGGACGTGCCTTCTTCGGCTTCTACGACAGCGACCAGTCCGGGAATCCTCAAGCGATCGCCCAGCGTGGATAAGATTGCTAAGAAGCTTAGCTTTGGATCCCCGAGGGTGCACGACATCGAGGCTGCGAACCCGGCGAAGTCGAGGATGACGCCCGAAAGGGCGAGGGAAGTCCTTGAAGCTATCAAGGTAGCCGAAGGCCGAAGCGAATCGAGCGAGGCCCCCCCTCCGCGGATGCATGTAAAATCTACCGGCTTCAGATGCTGTACATAGGGGCGAGCCTAGGATTTTCGGGTGGTTTTACTTCTTCAGTCCGGCAGGCTCTTACGTGCATTATTGAACCCGGTAGCCTAGTAGCTCTAAGCATCGAAGCTGCACCCCAACATTGTCATCTACAGTTTAGACAAAGGGCCCTTGGAAGTTTTGTGTGATCTTTGTTACCTGGGCTGTTTCATTTGCCGCCGATCTAGGATGGCAAAGCCGTGCCGAAGCCGAACCAGGACCGGGAAAGTAGTCTTTCGGGTACTACTAAAGTTCTATTATCTTACATATATATAATAATAAGAAGAAGAAGAACAATAATATATATATATATATTATTTATATATAATTATTACTACTAGTAAGCTTTTATATAAATATAAATATACATATACATATATATATATATAACTATATCTATCTATCTATCTATCTATGTATTATATCTATATCTGTCTATCTACCATATCTATCATATATATATATAATGTACATATATACCTCTATTATGTACCAGGCTATTTCGTTTATTATAGGTGTGTGTGTATACATATATATGAACTAAGTTTCTTTCTATACTAGGTCACTATCTATATGCTTAGTGTGTTATATCATATTTAACTATAGACACACGTGTTTGTGTGCATCATGTGTGCCACTTACCTTACTTGGGCCCTGCATGGGGGATAGATCAGTAGGAGACATGCACACGAGGACACTCGTACGCGGCAGCAGAAGAAAGATGATAAGAAAACGGACCGAAAGCAAGAGAAGCTGCAGAGAAAAGCAGAGAGGGCCGCGAAGCGCGAGGAGGAAAGCAACGCAGAAGAGGCAAATAAAACATCATGCGTCGAAGTCGGAATCTTTGTCCTTTTCTCCCATGTTAACAGGAGAAGCCCGGCAAGGAGCACCGAGCCTGGGTGGGGCCTTGCATTATTACTTGTTGTTGCTGGCGGCTGCATGCCGCTTAGGCGTACATGTGCACTTTACTAGGCAGACAAGAGCAAGAAAGACAAGGTGCACGTTTGTCTGTTGCACATGGGCGACACAATATATATATATATATCACCGGCCGGTTGTGTCAGGCTGACGCTCTCGCAGCAAAGAAGAAGGACGATCAGGCACCAGTTTAATGTGACACTTCAGATTTTAACTATCCTTTGCTGCAACATAGTATTGCTAGGCCGAAGGTATGTATGTGAACGAGGCACGCTGCTTTTCATTTCCCTCACCATGTGCATGCACGTAGGATCCTGTGTAGAACGCATGGTACATGTATATAGAGGTATATCCGGTCAACAACATCCGTCGCTGGATGAAATCTGGATCTTACTGGTCTTCAGCAAATGAGGACAAGAAGAAGAAGCCGGCGCTTACGGACGATGATGTCAACAAAATCATCGGTGAGTGGGAGCAGAAGCAGAAAGCCGTGCCTGATGATGATGGCGACGATGATGACGCAAGCTCGCATGGAGATGTGAGCGAGCCGGAAGCTGAAGAAAGCTGCTCTGATGATGGTGCGGTGGACAGCGAGCAGGAGGAAGTGAAAAGCTCGTCAGAAGGCGAGGCGAGCGACCAGGAGGATCCAGCAGAGAAGGGTTCCGATGAGGATTCGGCGAAGCCGGCATCGAGAGCAGACGAGGCTGCAGCATCGACAGGTGAGAGCGACATCGAAGAGTCCGAAAACTCGGACCGGGAAAGCATTGAGTCTGACGAAGGCTCAGAGGCATTGACGGGCAGCTCGAGCGAGGCCAGGCTTCTATATCTATGGACCCAGACCAATATACATGCAGGCTCTCAGTCTTCCAGCCCTACAGATATATGTACATATATATATATACATATATATATATGTGTGTGTATGTATGTATGTATGTATGTATGTATGTATGTCTGTTTTTGTGATGTGTATACAGTACTACATATATGCTACTTATATGCGTTCAGATGTGTATTTATTTCTTGATGCACTTGGATCCTAGTCGGAATTTGCGGCTGAGCATTATCTCTCTGCCTTAAACACTTAAACCCTCCCCACTCTCTCGATGTGTCTCTCTGCCTCTCACATATGTCAGGACATCGAGCCGACGACCCCCCGCGGGACCAAATGCCACGCACGAGGATCCCCCGAGAAGCCCCATGCAGCTTGACGCAAAGATTCCCACGGTACCAACCCCTAAACCCCACGCACGAACTGCCGCCGAATCTACACTCTACACGAGCCGAGGCAAAAAAGCTGAAGACTGCTGCTGCCGACTTCGAGAGCGACGAGAGCGACCACGAGACGAGCGACCCCGACACGAGCGACTTGGAGGAGAACGACCACAAGCGCAAACAGACCAAAGACGAGAAGCGACCCAAGACGACCGAGAAGGACACGAGCAAAGACGAGAAGCGGCCCAAGACGACCGAGAAGGACACCAGCAAAGAGGAGAAGCGACCCAAGACGACCGAGAAGGAGACCAGCAAAGAGAAGCGACCAAAGACGACCGAGAAGGAGACCAGCAAAGAGAAGCGACCCCAGGAGGACGAGCGCGACACGAGCAAAGAGGAGAAGCGACCCAAGGCGACCCAGAAGGAGACCAGCAAAGACGAGAAGCGGCCCAAGACGACCGAGAAGGACACCAGCAAAGAGGAGAAGCGACCCAAGACGACCGAGAAGGACACGAGCAAAGACGAGAAGCGACCCAAGACGACCGAGAAGGACACCAGCAAAGAGGAGAAGCGACCCAAGACGACCGAGAAGGAGACCAGCAAAGACGAGAAGCGACCCAAGACGACCGAGAAGGAAAGCAGCAAAGACGAGAAGCGACCCAAGACGACCGAGAAGGAGACCAGCAAAGAGAAGCGACCCAAGACGACCGAGAAGGAGACCAGCAAAGAGAAGCGACCCCAGGAGGACGAGCGCGAAACGGACGCATCCGACGAGGAGAAGGACGGCGACATCGACGAGGGTGACGTGGCAAAGAGCAAGGGCAAGTTGGGAGATGCCGAAAGCAAGTCCCTTCCGAATTCCAGCTCCCATCGCAAGGAGTACATGCGGTTCAAGAGGTGGACGAAGTCGAAATCCCGCTTCCCCAGCAAGCTGCTTGCGACGGTGCAAACCCAGGACAGTTAAGCGAGCGATCGGTTTAAACGGAATTCATGTACGTGTGCATCATGTCATGAGATTAGAAAAGACAAATACATGCGTGTGCCTGTATGATGCTCCCTCTCTGATAGGAGGGCCGCAGCAAACTCTTCTTGGACTACCTCGAGTGCGAGGGGGATACGGAGAAAACCGTTCTAAAGTTCGAGGCCCGCGTGGAGGACAAAGACTCGACGACCATCAAGTGGGGCTTCCGCCCCGAGAAGTGGCTCCAGGATCGACATGGTGAACGGAAGGCCACGAAGTTGATGGAGCGCAAGAAAGCGCTTGGTTTGATACTCTTATGCAATATCGTGTGCACATTTAGGGCCTTAACCAGTGCGACAAATTTCCCTTGATTACGAGAATCTCGGGGTGATCTCTGGGCTGCTTGGGTTCTTTGACCGGATTTAGAAGCTTCACTTGAGTTTCGGGGTCGCAGATTGTGGAAGGCTAACTCAGTTCCATTGGATTCACTATAACCCTTAAACTATTAGTATGTTATCCCAATACTTCCTAAACCTGAAACCCTTTTCACCGGCCCACATTTAGGCTTTGCTTGGCTTTGGGGTGCAGGGATCATGCTTTGGGCTATATGTACAATATAGTGCAGACCAGGCATGCAAGCCCCCAAGTCCCGAAACCTTGAAGGTTGTATGGTTAGAATGCAAAGGCAGGCCCAACCCCTTCCAACACTCGAACCCCGAATGAGGACGATTCCGGATCCGGAGCTCCCTGCTGACAGTGGGGAAGTGCTTTACTTTGTGATGTTGGAGATGGACTTCGCCAACATCCAGGAGGTTGCAAGGGTCACCCAGCTGGAGCTCAAAGGTGGGATCGACAAGGATGGTCTGAAGGAGTTCGTGAAGGCACGTGCCCTTAAGGTTCGGACTGCAGTTTGGATGCCACCCCTTAAGACCGTACCGTTGGGTGTAAGCTTGAAGACGCCTTGCCCACACGCCCAAACGTCCATACTGTATGATATTCGAAGCATCAACGTAAACCATATAAACCTTAAGCTCTAAAACCTTAAACCCTGAACCAAGCGTCTTCAGCTTAACATGGGCTTCAGAGGTAGTGCTTCTGGAATGACGGGAGTTCCAGGTTATGCTCCGCAGCTTTTAGGCCTTATAAAGACGGGCCATGAATTTGTTCAGGATTGAGCCCCTAAACCCAAAACCCCAAAGCCCTAAACCCTAATTTCTTAGGCTTAGGCAGAAAAGCCCGGCCCACATCCGAACAATTGCCCCTTGCATTTATTCTTCGAACTAGCTAGCTAAAGCAGGGCTCTACTATAGATTGTGTCGATCTAATGTTTTGTGTCTTCTGATTTTATACCTATATCTATATATCCCTATCTCTGTTTTTATGATATATACCTACATCCATAGATATCACCAATTAAGCCAAACCCCTGGGATCCCCCGAAAGCGGCTCGTAGACAAAGTCCGGCAGGGCGGTGGCATCCTCGACCCCAGCATGAACCTCAAGCTGATGGACTTTGGCTCCGGGGCTCCGCTCAATGGGAGCCAGTTGATGCTGAAAGCCGCGGGGTCTAGTGCTGTGACACCCAAGAAAAACACCAACAAGAACCCAAAGAACAATCAGAATGCGGAAACTGAAAAGAAGGCAAGGTTATCCGGGCTAGTTGTGCTGCTTCTTAACCTTTGCAAAATATGCTTGCATCCCTCAAGGTGGAGCCCAAGACCCCACTGCAGAAAGCCGAAGCCCGCACCAACAAAGCATTCAAAGACGCGGCCGACTGTACGCCTGAGACTTAGAGTACGCGTTGATATGCCGCATGTCTACTCATAAACACTGCTTCCTGCATGTTTACACAAGGACCTGGGCTTTCAAGCTACGCCCCATCGCAATGAGCTCAACACTGATCGAACAGTTGGAGGCTGTCAGCTTGCAGCTGAAAGAGGTGGCGGCTGCAATCCAGCAGCTCACGAACAAAGGCAAGAATAAGAACAAGTACTATGTTCACGTGTGCAAGGAGGCGTGGTTATGAGCCTCGAGCCCAAAAGTTCAATCGCACCTCACCGGGTCCAAATTCCAAACCATTCCAAATCCCTACTGTAAAACAAAAACAACGCTAAACCCTAAATCCGTATAAACCCTAAACCCCTAAACCCTAAACCCCCCGTGAACCCTAGAGTCCCTAGAGCCCTATAATTTTCCGTACAAACCCTAAACCCCTAAACCCTAAACCCCCCGGAAACCCTAGAGTCCCTAGAGCCCAATAGTTTTCCGTATAAACCCTAAATTAACCCCTGAACCCTAAACCCCCCGAAACCCTAGAGTCCCTAGAGCCCTATAAACCCAAAAGTCCCAAGCCACTTAAACCCTGAACCTTATCCCTGCAGGCTGATGATCTTGGCAAGCTGGCTGAAGAAAGAATCTCTTTGGCTAAAGCCCTGGTTCGAGCTCGTAAGCCCAAGGCGAAGGCAAAGGCTGCAGCGAGCGGCACTGCCACAGCAGCATCGCCTGGGTCGGCTAAGTGAGGTCGATGGAGATTCGGGCCTGGGATTTTAAAGGCTTCAGGTTGAAAGGTGCAGTGAGTTTAGGAACACTTCAGGTTCCTCGACCTCGAATGCCGGCTGACCCAGGGTGATGATTTTAACTATCGTACTTCCGAACACACAGGCATAGCAGTCCGGATGAAAGGTCTAGGGCACCCCCGGTTGTACGTGGGATTGCGCCAACTGTGGCTTCGAAGATCCACAGTAGCATGGGGTGCAACCTGCGGTGCAAGCCTGGAGTCACTCTGCGTTAGGTTTGTGTGCATTCAGCGCCTGAAACGAAAGCGAGCTCACGCGTGCTGGTCAAAGATCCCTGATGCAAGCATGCATGCACGGTACTAGCTTTCCTTACCGTACGTCTCCCAACCCCACGTCAGGAAATCTGCATCCAGATCTCGCTCTCGGTCCCGTGCTGGGCACAACGACGCTGGTGCCTTGAGCTCACACGGTCCTCGGGCGAAAGCCGAAGGCCTAAACCTTACTAGGAAACCTAAACCCCTAAAGCCCCTACCCTAAATATTTCTATATACATAGACATAGAAACCCTGTACTGGCCTTAGATTTAGAGTTCTTTTGGGGCCAATTTTGTGGACCCTTTGGGTAAAGCCCCCTTGTATTCCAGGCCCGGGAGGGCGACATAGTATAAATGTGTGCGTGTGCATGTGTACATGTCTATGTACGACACTTGTGGACACACACATACACACAGATGCACACACACGTTCAGATATAGAGCCGGACATGAATGAACTGCATTGCAAAAGTACCTTGTGGGTTGAAAGTAGAACAGCTCGAGCAACAACATACGGGTCTGCATTTGAGGGCTGCCTGCGGCTCCATGGGTTTTGAGGTTATGGGCTATGCGGGTGTGTATTTTTCATCTTCATCATCACATCATATTCAGCATCGACATCATTAACATCATAAATATCATCATCCTCATCACTTCATATGATACTGTTGATGGACAAAATCCTGCATGATCTTATATATATATATATATAGACCTACAAGGGATTATTACAATTGGTGCATGCAGAATTTTGTCCATCAACAGTATCATATCATCATCATTATCATCATCATCATATCGTGCATTCTACCACCATGCATATCATCATATATCATCATCATCATCATCGTATCATCATATCATGCATATCATGCATATCATCATGTCATCATCATCACCAGGCATCACCATATCATATCAAAGCGGCAGCATTGGTAGCAGCACCGAGTCATGGGAGATCGATGCTAGCACCACCACCTCGATCTTGTATAGGTTTCAGGCTTAATTTCGGACGGTTGCAGCAGGAGGGGTTTACTTAGGGCTCAGGTTTGTAACTCTCGCAGCTCTGCTTCAACTGATCATGATGATCGAGTGGTGATCTGATGATGTTGATGATGGTCATGACGGTGGTGCATGATGATGGTGGCGACACGTGATCTGATATGATATTATGGGGATGATCATGATGATGCATGGATGGTGGCTTCTCACCTCGGAAGACCGAACGCAAGTCGTAATCGCTGCAAATTTAAACCCCAAACCCCGAAAGCCCTAAACCCTAAACGAGTCGGCGGCTGGGATCTGGAAGCTTCGGTGCTTTCGGCTTAAGTTTACTTGGGGGTTTAGGGTTTAAAGTTTAGGAATCATCTTTCCATCAGGCGTCCGATCAATGGCTACCCTCTGCTTGGAGGTTCATGGGCAGTTATAAGTGGAGTTGTAAATCCCCTATATATAGCTATAGTTACCCTACTTATAACCCTACTTATAACTGCCCAGGAACCTCCAAGTGGTTCGGAGATCTGGAAGCTTTTGTGCTTTCCGCTTAAAGTTTAGGGTTGGGGTTTAGGGTTTAGTAGGGTGTAGGGAGTCATGCTTCCATGAGGCCTCCGATCAATGGCGATCCGTCTGGTAATATTGAAATTCGGAGATCTGGAAGCTTCGGTGTTTTGGCTTAGGGTTTAGAGTTGGGGTTTAGGGTTTAAGTACTCATCTTTCCATCAGGCCTGCGATCAATGGCGACACTGTTGTGGTAATATTATTCGGAGATCTACCAATGCATGGCGACGATGCTCTAATTTGTGGTAATATTATTCGGAGATCTGGAAGACCCGGTGCTTTCGGCTTACGGTTCAGGGTTGGGGTTTAGGGTTCAGGGTTTAGGGAATCATCTTTCCATCAGGCCTCACAAGAATGAGAAGTAGAGTTTTAGTGATTCCGGTTGAAGCCGACTAGTTTCATAAAGAACACGCGATTCACACGAACAAGAGTCATCATCTCCGGCTGCAGCCGCTCAACTTATTAAATCCTTACCTACACCCAACCGTTAAAAGCCTTGGACCCAAAAGCCCGAGGTCTAAGGTGAGTATGCACTGTAACAATCTTCCTCCATATACGGTCGGCCAAGCAGGGTGGAACGATCACGAAAAATGAATCAAGCGTTTCCCGATGCACAGGCCATCGACGGCCACACTCAGCACCCAGACTGCAAGAAATTCGCCGCTCAGTCAAGCATCGACCAGGCAGGCCCGGCTGCAAGTTGCGAATCCTACGTTTGCACGGGGGGTCGGTGTAAAACCAAAAGCTTCGTTTTGGATTTGCATGCAGGGATGTGGGTGGTGGCGAATGCCAGTGCTGCTTCCCTGCGGACTTTCAAGAAGATCTGCTCCGGGGCGCTTTGTTCCGAAACCTCGCATGCTTTCATCAAGTTTGTGTATCCTGTGCAAGACCGAGCCTCCTTCGCTTGATTCCGCTTAAGGCACTGACGGTGGCAGAAGGTTGCAGGGATGCGGCAGCTTTGCTTCTGGATGGATCCACTTGCCCCCTTGCAGAGCTTATGGCAATATGGGGCAACAGCGAGCACGGTGAAAGATCTTTTCAGAGGTACGGTGCCCGCACATGAAAGGGATTTTGTTTGAATACTGCAGCTTTCGAAAAGACATCGTGTAGGTTAAACCCCGTTATCGCTAACCTTGACCCGAGGTGGTGCAAGGAGCATTGCCGAATTCAGCCTGGCCGAATAGAGCTGACTTTGAAGACAGACGAGGATGTCGCGCTCAGAGAACATGCAGTGCTCTGGCCCTGGGACACTTTGAATTACCTTTACAGCAGCAACAAATTGGCCACCTGGCTTTATGACCCACCTGAACGTGCATCCTTCCACATCACGGTCACTTGGGTCGAATGCATGTTTTTAAACAAGTATAAAAGCTGTGCTGGTTTCAAGTTTTCTGCCGCATATATAGACAGACTTTTTACATGCCATCGTTCAACCAGGAATATTGGCGAAATGTACAACACCTGGAGTTTTACGAAAAGCTGGGGATTTCTGAGAAGGACTGGCCACACTGTATTCCACTTTCCTGGCATGTGGACGGGGTAAAGGTATATCGGTCGCAGAAGGCATGGGTGTATAGTTTTGGCTGCTGCACCCGAAAAGGGCCTTCGATCGACACCAAATTGCTCTTCCTTTTGTTCAGGGAGCAGGAAATGTGCAAGCCTGACACCCACGACGAGGTTGGAACCATCATCGCGTATGTGATGCATGTGCTCATGACAGGTATGTATCCTGATGTTCAGTGGGATGGTGCTCCCTGGCCAGAGGGAAGTTTGGAGTTCAAAAGAGCCGGCCAGCCCTTCGCTGGAGGTTGGCGTGCATGCTTTGCTGCATTCAAAGCAGACCTTGAGGCTCGGGCGCTTGTGCACAAGATGGTCCGGAACTGGTCATGCAACAGCATCTGTGAGCATTGCCTTGCTTCGAAGCTGCCTGAGCTAAGCTATGGTGACTTCAGCTCCGGAGCTTCCTACATGCAGTTCATGTTGACTCATGCAGAGTTTCTGGAATTGAACCCCCCGCATCGCCAGTCTTCTTGGGTTGATGTCCCCGGCTGGACAAAAGACAGAAATGTCGAGGTGCCACACACATGCATGCAGAAATGGTTTTACTTGTTTCGTTTATTTCTTGTTTCGTGCTGCTACGCATAAACCGGCTCCCAAGGATATGCTGCATGTGGTACATCAGGGCATTGGCCCTTTGTTGATCGCGTCCTTGCTCTCGGACCACTACGAGGAGCTGCACGACCACAAGCTCAAACTGAGGCAGCTCGAAGAACTGCTACAACGTGATGCGTGGCCACACTACAAGAAATGGGTGCGAGATCGCAAGCTGCCAAGCTGCAGCATGCAGTTTTCTTTGGTCCGCATTGGACGGGAGAGCTGGCAACGGATGCCGGAGATGGCATCATGCTACAAAGCTGCTGTCATCAAGGCGATGTTGTACTGGATTGCATCATTTCTTTTGGAACGCAAGCAAGACAATCAAGCAGGCTTTATCGTCAGAGCCGACCTTTCCTACACCTTGGCGCAATTTCACTATTTGCAGGATTGCAATGGGCCGTGGCTTAATGAGCAAGCAGCCGCAGAGATGGCATGGTATGGCCACAAATTTCTGCTCCTCTACCAATTTGTCGCAGAGCAGGCCAGGCGAGCCGGGCGCGTCATCTACAAACTAGTGCCCAAATTTCATGTGATGCTCCACATGTGCTTGCGGCTGCCTTTGGACAGACGAAACCCCCGCTACGACCACCTGTATATGGAGGAAGATTTTATGAAGGAAATTGGTCGTATCGCATCGCGAACGCATGCGCGAACTATGAGTAGCGTGACATTGCTTCGATATCGGGCATTGTTGGAAAGCGGGGGTCTAGGCCCTCATGAGCAGGCCAGGAATCCTCACAGCTATCTTTGACAAGGCGGGCCCTTAAGCCGAAAGACCCTACTTTAGCCTCAATCTCAAAATAAATTGAGACACCCTGAATGCTAGCTTTCGGAGTTGACACTCCCGGCTGGGAGCCCGGCCGACGCAGAGAGGAGACCAAGGAAAATGTCGGCCAGGAACTTTTTGTGGCCAAGGGTCTTTAAGTGTTTAGGGGCTTACTTGGAGGTTCATGGGCATTAGTTATAAGTGGGGTTGTATGAACCCTAATTTGAGTTAGAACTATAGTTATAGTGGCCCTATATATACTTATAGTCCCACTTATAACTATACCCATGAACCTCCAAGTATATTTGGGGCTATAGGGGATTTTAAGGATTTGAGGCTCGGGATGAGGCGACAAGCGCTCATGACCTCCAAGCCGACCCCGGCCCAGGCTGTTGATTGCTTTAGGGTTTCAGGGTTTGGACTTGTAGGATGGGGTGATGTATGTAGGCCTTTGCTGCTAGCTGTCTTGTGAGGCCCGTGTACACTTAGACCCCAATATTTCTACCCAAAAGGATCCTAAACAGAACAGCTATCGCAACCAGTGTTGGCTACTCCGAACCACGTACCTCGATCTAATCGTTCCCGTATAGCCCCTGACATGAACCCACTAGTCTCATAAAAAGGAGGCCCGAAAAGAAGCTGACACTGAGCCTTGAAGGAACCTTACAGGAGCCCCTGAAGCGACCATTCTAGAACCCCTTAGGCCTTGAAAGGGCCCTGAAAGCAGCCATGCATTCCAGAACCCCTGAAAAGGGGCCCTAAACCCTAAACCCTCAAAGGAACCCTTCAAGGGACCCACACAGAAGCCCCAAGCTAAGGCCTAAAGCCATAAAACTGCATCGTGCTGTGTAGAAGCTAGGCAAAGCCTAGATACAGGTGTAGATCTTCGAAGCCCCGGCCATCCCAACAGAGACTGTAAATCTGAAATTCGGAAACAAATCAGCCCAACATCAAAACCGAAGCCAACACGGCCTAAGTAGACGAAACCCTCCCCCAGGCCAGTTCGGATCGTAGGGTTAATTAAGGGTTTCGGATTCAAGACTTTCGGGCTTGAAGGTTTGGTTTTAAGGGTTTTTGGGGTCGAGGCTTTGGGATTAAGGGTTTTTGGGTGTTTCGTCTTATGGCCTTTTGGGATTTAGGGTCTCCGATTAAGGGTTTTTGTGGTTTGGAAGTTGTTGGGGTTTAGAGTTTTTAGGGGTTTAGGCGTTTAGGGGTTTAGGGGTTTAGGGCCTTTAGGGGTTCAGGGGATTTTTTTTTTTGCTGCCTTTTCTGAGTCCTGCTCAGAGCCGCCGGCTTGGGCAAGCCACGAGATTGCTATAGTATCCATATTTGCAGTTTCTGTTAACATTTAGGTCGCGTGCTTCCACATGCTAAGTAAGCATGTATGCAGCTGGCATGCAGCTGGGGCATTTGGCAACAGTTTTTCGCGCAGGCATGCTTCCTCAAAGCAAAATCTGGATGGACAGACACCGGCCGACAGTTATCGGATGCCCTGGCCGGTTTCTCGTGCTCGCGTAATATGTACACTCTCGCTCCTCGCACGCAAGCTTAAGAATGCAGACTTCGGGCTGTGTAGGTAGGGTGGAAGAAGACCGACGGCCAAGC